ACTTTTCGGTCTGACATATATAATCTAACACTAACTTTCTTGGCTATAAGGAGATGAGGAATTACCCAGGAACCATGGGGTAATTAGACATGCCAAGATCATTTTTGGTTTGATGAAGATCGGTGTGACATATTCCACAACATATGATTCTTATGTGTACATCCTCTGGTCCTGTCTCTCTGTAAGAACATGCAATCAGATTCAAAAAACCCAAATGATGAAATTAAAAACCACTCAAGATCAAAAGAAGAGAAATTAACCTAAGAGTGTAAGTGTAAGGGGAAAGAAACCCAGATGGGTCTCTCGCAGCAAAGCCTGTTGTTTTCCTTTCTACCTCCATTTTTCCCATTTCTTGATTCTCTTTCTCTTTCACTGTTTCTTAGTGCTTTTTTTTCTTCACACTCCGATTATGTGTGTATTATTATATATATATAGAGAAAGTTGAAACGAAACGCATGCGTATGTGTGATGAAACTATTGGTGCCTTTGTGCATAGCGTACATGTGGCATTTTTTAATTTGTTGATGACTTCTAATCGAGTGTGAATTTGTGTATATTGTTGAAAAAATTAGTCAAAAGTTTTAAATCTTTAGCGTTGAAAATGAAATACTCTTCTAGAAACTACAAGATCTTTCTTCTTCTTTTTTATACGGCTCTAATTTATTAATATGGGAGAATGTTTTAGAAAGCTAAATATACTATATAAGCTTATATGAGTCCCTTTATTAAAATCAAATGAGAAAATGAAATTTGTATTCTTCAAAAGGAAGACAATCCCAAAAGAAAAAGAAAAAAGGAAAATAAATCTCCTTTCAGATGTGGACACGTCAGCTGAAGGGTCCACGAGAGTTGGTGAACCAAACAATGTTTGGGTCTAATCTTCTGTTGCTCTGTCTAATCCGAGTGATACAATAGTATTGCGCCACGTGCTGATGCTTAGCCTATGGGATGCAATTACAAATTTGACGGTCCAGATCAGCTGTCAATAAAGCCTAGGTGGATTTCAAAACATGTTAAAAACTGGGTATGCATTCTTGCAATTAGAGATGTCAAACATAGGATGTGGCCAGCAAGCTACACGCAAGTAAGACCACAACGGGCGGATTTGGACACGTATTTAAAATTCGCAACCTCCAACAGACCAGTTCGTATGGATTGAAAAGAAATTGTGTCTGTTACGTGTTGGATTTTTTGAATGTGTGCTGACATGTCAGAGATCTTTATTTGTAAATGAGATGTTTATGATGGAAATTTGGCCAAATAACCAAAAAAAAAATATCTTAAAATCTAACCAAAACTATCATATGTGGCTAAATCCTAATCCTTAGATCTAGGATATTTGGTCATAATTTTAGATATAATTTTTTTTTAATGGTTATTTGACAAATTAACCATGTTTATAATGGTCATAAGAAAATTGCATAAATGATAATATTCGATTTCCGGTTTTGATTAACATGGCGAGTGTTTTAATCATTCAAACAAACCACTATATCACACATTATTGTTTTCATTTTTAACTTTCTGTTTACCTTATCGTATTTATTTATTTTTCATAAGAACAATGTAAAAGAATCTTATTATTATTTATTTATAACAAGATTAAAATTCAAAATTTATAAGTAAAAGAAACTGACGAGGAAAAATGATTATTACATGTACATATAAATAGGCCTAAGTAAGATGTATGCATCCTTTCGAGTGTGTCGACCATACATGTGCATAATGCATTCTTCTAAGCAAATATTTATCTACTTTAGGCCAAACAATTACAAGTGTTAATTACTCTATACATTAATCATAATATCGACATGTTTTGTTTTCACTTAGTCAAAGAGGTAGTCGCATTTCTACGCTCATTACTCCTGCCGCTTTTTTTGGCTTATGGAGTACAATGCGAGTTGATTTAATCACAACTAATATACTTTTGTTTTTGTCCTCTGGAATTTATTACAATCACATGTATAATACAAGGGTAGAATACGTTTTTGAAATACTGAGCTAATGGACTACAAAATCAATAGTGAGCCCTGCGAAAGAGAGGCGAGCATAAAACCAAAATATAACTAAAATCCAAAGAACATAGAACACAACTTCGAGAAAAAACACTATCAACCACCACCGATGAACTAGCTAAATCAAAACAAACCACACCAGAAGATAACCAAAATCTTGCAGCTTAACCGCGAAAGCATATCGAAAAGCCCATGAAAGCCAACAGACGATATGCGGTTCCTCCTATGAAGAATAAGTATACCTAACCAAATCAATAAACCTAGGAAACTATTCCAGCAAGATGAACGATTCCAAAAAAGACTGAATCTACACAAAACTTTTGGAAACGGCGATACCGAGGAGACCTCGACTTTTCAACACCTAGTTAGGATCCTTTGAACAAGAGAAGATAACGACCATAACTTAGATGTAGAGACAAAAAACGAGCCCACACTAACCGAAACATACCAGAAATGGAGCCCATAACGGCACATGATCAACACAGAAGCCCAAAAACCGGCCCGAACACAAGCCAAAGCCCATAAACCCGAGCCCAATCCAAGCCCATAACCCGTGCCCAAAACAACCCCAACTTCTCCACCGAAAACCACAACCCTACCACCGTAAGCCCAATCACGATCAAACCACACGGCGAGAAGGAAGGATTCCGACGAAAGCACCTCGCCTCAATAACCAGAAGGAGTAACGCGAGCCCGACAAACCGCTTCACCTCTGAAAGACATTAACATGATTTCGACCAAGGCCAGAGCGACCACGACCACCATCCAGAACGAAAAATCGAAACCCACTGCTTCACCTCTGCAATCAATCCGCCAAAGTTATACCCAATGTTTTGGACTCATTCAGAGAACCGCGAAACACAAGACAGCCAAGAAAGCACAATATACAACATGGGAGCCGTCACCGGCGCTTTGGAAGCCACCGGCGACGAAAACGTAGAAAAATTGGAATTTTTAACTTGCRGACGGTGGTTCTAAAACGAGAGAAAAGTGTCGGCATACATAAAAAACGCTATTGTGAATTGACAACTAAATACCATGTGAACCAAATACAAAGAACAAGTGAAAAAATGAGCACAACAAAGACCATGTGAACCACTGGTACAAAGATCATGTGAACCACTGGTACAAGGACAAGAATAACGTGTCCTTGCCTGTATGACATTGTCTTGTGTCCTCTTCTTCTTTGTCACCTACTACAAAGATATCATGTGAGCCACTGGCCTTGACAGAAACTGAGTGAA